TCCTCTCCTCTCCTCTCCTCTTCCTGGTGGACACTGCAGGGGTGGCCAGCTTGAAGCATCTGAATGCAAAGGAGAAGATAAGCAGAGTACAAACCACACAGACACTGCAATACAACTGAAAGTTTGGGGGACAACTGAATATTCACAGCAGATTAACTAGGTTTACCAAACTGAAGTCCAAGAGGTTGGAAAGAATTGCCATGTATTTGACAGTTGAGTGGATAAAATTCTGTGGCATTCTCAAACTTGCTTTAAGGGGCATGATAAACCAGAGACATCCTCGAATCTAGGTGAATTTCATGGAAGAACATTTGAAAATGGCAACTGAGCAGCCACAACAATTCAAAATGAACTTCTCTGCTGTGTGCTCATTGTTGCAATAAATGCCATTAAGGAACAGATAACAAAATAGAATAAACAAAAATAGAATTTATAGCCTTGGGAATGTTGTCACTGGAAAAACAAATGATACAGCACATGAATGATTTTAATAAAAAGACAGTAGAAATGTTTGCCCATTAGAAGAATGCTGGGCAACCTTTCTTTATAAATGAAGATTGATCTGCTGTGAGGTTTAGGGACAGCAGTAAGGGGAGGTTGGAGGCTGAGGCAGAGCACACATCTTCAAAATATGACTGCAGAAAGGCAAAATTGTGTTTAATGATGTGTCTACATTTTTATATTTGTGTGTAGTGTATCTTTGAGAACTATGGGAACTGGTGTTCAATATTGAAAACAGTATCTCCTTTACATTTCTGGGCATTAGAAGTACTTCACAGTTACGATTTCATGAACCATAATAAAAGCACTGTAAAAATAGGTGAGTTGGGGCAATGGACTCAGATTATAGCAGTTGGATATGTCCTCCATTCATATAGATGTTACACTGTTAGCCTTTGAATCTTTAAGAGCTTCTCATTGTCCAAAGGTGTGCGAATTGCCACAGAAAGTATGTGTGTTATAGTGGTATGAAAAACAGCCAGATTGCATTGAATAACTTGAATAATAACTTTATTGTCATTCCACTATACACCAAGTGCATAATAAAATGAAATTCGGTTGCAGTTGGCTCACAATTACAATCAGACACTAAAAGACAATCAAGATACCATAATTACTATAAAATATACATTCCATACACATTTGACATTAACTTATTAAACATTCAAGAATCTAATAGCTGGGGGACAAAGCTATTTCCCAATCTGGCTGTTCTACATCGGATACAGCGGAACCTCTTCCCAGAGGGTAACAAAGAAAACAGGCCTTGATGAGGATGGGAGACATCACTGACGATCTTTCGAGCTCTAGACAGGCAACGTGCATGTGCTAGGTCTTGGATGGGAGGCAGAGAGATCCCAATTATCTTCTCTGCTGCCCTTGCTACCCTCTGCACAGACTTTCTGTCTGAGGCACTACAGCCTCCAACACAGATGGAAATACAATTAGTGAGAAGACTCTCTATAGTGCCTCTATAGAAAGTAAGGAGAATGGAAGTTGGGAGATGTGCTTTCCTCATCTGGCACAAAAAATGCAAATGTTGCTGTGCTCATTTTACCAAAAATGTGATGTTAAGGGACCAGGTCAGACTATTCATTAACTGCACCCCTAGGAATCTAATGCTACTGACTGGCTCCACAGCTATGTTATTAATAAAAAGTGGTGTGTGACTACACCGGCTCTTCCTGAAATCTATAATCATCTCCTTTGTTTTTTCCACATTTAGGACCAAGCTGTTTTTACTACACCACTCCACCAAGCCCTTCGGCTTCTCCCTGTAAGCCCACTCATTGTCATCCCTGATAAGACCCACCACTGTTGTATCATCCACATATTTCACAACGGAATTGGTGGTGAACCTGGCACCACAGTCGTGGGTCGTCGGGGTGAACAACAGTGGGGTCAGGACCCAGCCCTGTGGGGAGCCGGTGCTCAGAGAGATAGAGCTAGAGATATTATTTCCAACTCTCACCAACTGAGACCTCTTAGTAAGGAAGTCAAGTAGCCAATTACACAAAGGAGTACTGTAACCCAGAGAACCCAGTTTGTCCACCAAATGCTGGGAAACAATCATATTGAATGCTGAGCTGAAATCTACAAACAGCAATGGCACATAACTCTTCTTCTCCTTAAGATGCACCAGACTTGAATGAAGCACAGAAGAGATTGCATCCTCTACAGAGCGATTCCGCCGATAACAAACTGAAGTGGACCAAACAAAGGAGGGAGTCTGGAAACAGTGTAATCCTTCATCAACCTCTCAGTACATTTCATCACAATGGGAGTGAGTGCCATCGGATGGTAATCACTGAGACACATGATCGTAGATTTTTTAGGCACAGGTATAATAGTCATGGTCTTAAAGCCTACCGGGACCACAGCCTGGTGCAAGGAAATATTGAATATGTCCATGAGGATGCTGGTCAGCTGTTCAGCACAGTCTCTCAGTACCCGTCCTGGGAAATTATCTGGGCCTGCTGCTTTCTGAATATTAATTTTCCTCAGGGTCCTCCGAACATCAGCTATATCAAGGGTAGGTGCCTGCTCGTCAGGATGAGATACAGCCTTCCTGCAGGAGTATTGTTCAATGCTTCAAACCTACCAAAAAACCTATTAAGTTCATTAAGAAAATCTATATTCTCCTCGCATGATGTCTGAGTAGTCTTATAATCTGTAATGGTCTGAATACTCTGCCATCAACTTCAAATTTCACCAGCCATCACTGCACTATGCCCGTAAAATTGGTTATACAGCTCAGGGAGGGAAAAAATGCATATGGTTGGCAGTGTGTGCTTTAGGACAGTGTTCCTCAACCTTGACCGCTTGAAGATGCGTGGACTTCAACTCCCAGAATTCCCCAGCCAGCCATGCTGGCTGGGG